GTTCTTAGTGTATCAAGCATCTATATGCAAAGAAAAGCCAAAAACTATGGCTTTTATCATTAAATGAAGATATATCCTAAAGATGCTTTGCAGGCTTTACGGCATAACCAGGTTTCATTCGCCTGGGCCCCTGAGCAGTTGTCTTTAGCTGTGTGTTGCTAGGTAAGTTTGTTGATGTTGTCTTTAGCTGTGTGGTGCTAGGCAAGTTTATTTATGTTGTCTTTAGCTGTGTGGTATTAGGTAAGTTTATTTATGTTGTCTTTAGCTGTGTGTTGCTAGGTAATTTTTTTAATGTTGTTTTTAACTGTGTTTTGCAATGTAATTTTACTGATGTCTTTTGTTTCTTTTGCTATTGATATTGTATTTTATAATTTTTTGTTACTTGTTTCCAGTCATTTTTGAATTTTAGATACAATGTTGTCATTGTTATGAGAAAAGTCCTGTCTGCTGGTTTGATTCTGTTTTTTTACTTATATTCAAGCTTTTAGTGGTCCTTTATGTGTTAAACTTTTATTATATTGGTACTAAAACCTAATAGAAAAAAATCAGCAAACTTTTAATAATTCATTATATATTTAAGCAGAAGTGGTTATAATATGCTTCATCATCATCTTTTCAGACTTTGAGACTTTTGAGCCATCATACAAGTTGAGAATATGTTAAAGGTGTTACTAAGACCAGAGCTATAGATCAGCAAGCACTGGGAAAATAATACTGTTGATAAATCAGATGCATAACTGGTTCTCATCATTGTTAGGTAGTAGGGTTTTATTTGTTTTCACGTTAATTACAAAACTATGTACATTTGTGATGTTACTCTTCTAATAAACCTAAGTATATGTATAATAAGTTTGATGTTTAGCCTAGTGAGGAAGGATGCTTTCGTTAGATGTTACATAGTCTTTTCATAAACCAAGCATAAATACTTGTTTTTGTCAGTATATCTGCTTTGCAAGATACTATGTTATCAATCAAAATGTAGTTACAGTACTAGAAAATTAACCAACTTTGAAATGTATCAGCCTAATTAAATAAATATATTTCCACTGTAATCTTATGTCAAAAAGTAAAGAAAAACATAAAATGCTTAGAAAAGGAAGAAAAACCTTTTGGACTTTCTCCACAATATCTGATTCTGGGTGATGAAGTTTTATCTGTTTCAAAGCCTGATCTGCTGGTTTTTGAGGAACATCTCTCTTGTCTTCAAAATTCATAAATATGGCAAACCCACTCCTCCGTTTTCGAGCTACAAAAAATTTTAAAGTAAGATGATACTTCATAATATTATATATTTCTTATAACTAAGTTCATGAATCTCACAAAGGAAGTATTAGTGTAGAAGTAGAAGCATACACCAAATATAAGAACAAAACTAATCAATTCTCACAATATATGAATATGTTACAGAATATTCAATACACAGATTGCATGTTTCCAACAGTCCACAAACAGCTGGCTTGAACAGATTTTATTTTTCTATTTGAGTTAATTATATTATTTTATGAGTTGTGACATATCATATTCACACCTATTAGACCAGTTCTTTAGAATGATTATTTCTCATTCCTAAAAAGGGTTACATTATGAATATATAGGTAATGGACACAAATCTGCTGTATTGTAACAAGTGAAAAAAGGGAGTTGTTTGCTAAAATTAAAATATTTTATTGTAATTAATCATTATATAATTACACTACTATATACAGATTAAAAATATATTGAATTTTGCATCAAATATAAAAATGCCATGTTAGAATTACAACAACTCTAAGTGCCTTTCATTCCAAACCAAACTAATGTAAAATATGATATAATGTAAAAAACTTTGTGTTATAATTGTGTACTACACGGAAAGCACACAAGGTGGTCTTATGGAACATCCCATCTCGACATAGTTCATTGCTACCAGGAAAATTTAAGATTGGTCGACTGGTAGTTAGTGTGGATTTGGAAATAAGCATACCTGACCAGGCAACACCCAAATCCAAATGAAAATGATGAGAGGGACCCTGAAAAATAATAGAAATAAACATGAAAGAAATGAAGTCACTCACCACTTTTACAATTGAGCTAGGACGTGTAGAATAGTCACAAGGGTTAGCCTAAAACCTTCCAAGGAAGCAACTGCCAAATTATGTAAAAAATGAGATATAAAGGTATTAATTATGGTCCATATTCCAGCCTGTACAACCTCCTCCAGTGGGTGACGTAGCCAAGCTGCCACGGACATCGAGATATGGTGAACTTGATGAGATAAGACCCAAAGAAGTCTCCGTTCCTCCAATGAAAGCTCAGAGTAAGCAATATGCACCAACTGATGAACCCAACTGGTCAATACAACAGGGGAGAAGTCAAGTGACACCTTGGGATCTCAGCAGATAAACAAACAGTGACATGAACCCCAAAGCCCTTCAGTGAGGACAATGTAACAATGAAGAGTCCAAACCAGGCATAAAAACAATCCAAATCTGGGTGTTCATAAAAAAGGGAAATGGAGGGAAGATGGATAGAGAGTAAACCTTATCCCCTTCTCTAGTCACTGATGTTTTGGGAGAAAAAACCTTTCAGGATACAACAGAACATAGGTGGAATGGTTATGAGTCCTATGAACTTGAATCACAAACACACTTGAACAATAACAGAAGAAAGTAAGTCTTAATCGAAAAGTGGTATATGCAACATGACATAAAAGGTTCAAAGGGTGAATGACAAAAGGCATGGAGAACCAACAAGATATCCCAATTAGGAACCTGGAAAGGGCCTCAAAGATCAATAACCCAAAAAAAGATTTTAGAAGCAATGACAAAACCATCTTTACATCTTCCAGAAAAAGGAAAAGTGGCAGATAAAGGCACTTTATACAGAGAAACAGACAAAGATGCCAAACCTTTGTCAAATAACCGTGTTATAAATCGAGAAACATGCAGCACAGTAGGATG